GTGGTTGCCGGGGAGGCCGCCTCGGCCTCCGCCACCCCCGCGGCGATGGAAGCCGCCTCCACGGCTTCGGAAACGGTCTCTCGACATGGCAAAAATGGTGGCGGTTGATGTGGGGCCGAGCGACGACACGGACGGTTTCTTTTTTCCCCCTCTCGTTCCTTCCCTCAGAGTCCGACCGACACACAAAATGGCGGACGGCGCTGAAGCGGTAAAAACGGCCTCGCCGCTGTCTTTGTTCCTCCTTTATATAGCCTCGCCACACGCCCCCCCCGGGCCCGCCTTTCCTCCTCCAGGGATCCAATAGAGATCCGCGAGCTAGATTGATGGGCACAGCAACCGGTTAATTTTCAAGCTCGCCGCCTCCCGAGGGGAGGGCCGAAAATCTCGAGCCAATAGCGATCCCCTGTTCAAGAAAAAGTGACAGGCACTTTATGCAATCGTCTTCGAGGAGGTAGGCCGAAAAAGACAGGGAAAGTGGCTCCTCTCCTTCAACTTATCTCTGTACTGATTGGAGCGTTTGGTCAGCAGAAGGCGTGGCTTGACGCTGGAATTGACCAATGCGAAGGGCCCGCATTGTGCGCAGTATGGAAGGGCATTGCCGCAAACTGAGCCGTCGGTCCAGCATCTGCCACGTGGTTTGGAATTAGGGCGGCTGTCTGTCATCTCCGTTACGGAAACGTTACTTCTTGGACTACAACCCCTAGAATCCCCATCTGGGGGTGGGGAGGTGTAATGAGTCTTCTTTAACAGAATAGCATATAAAAGAAAATAATTATTTAATATATTAATAATAATGGTACAGTACTGTGCTCCAAGACATGCAGACGGTCAGGATTTATTTATTTATTTATTCAACGTATATGCCACCCTCTCTACCCAAAGGTCTGCTCGTGATTTCCCTTTCTCCACCACTCCTCCAGTCCAATCTGTTTTCACAGGTGCATCGGTCCAACATGAACTAAATATAGGTATCTATTTGCACAGGTCTCTTATAAATAAAATGGTGATGAAGCAAACTTGGGGTATTGTTCTGGAAATGGAAGGGAGAGGAAGAAAAGGCATTCGGAGAATGTTAAATCAGAGGCAGAGGTTGTGTAGTTGTTTTTAAATCCTAGAAAAAAATAAGATCCATTTTCAATCAATGTCTGTTGCTGGTATGGACCTACAGGACAGTATGCTGCACCAACTTGGACTCTTAACAAGACCCATAATGGAATAATCGCATAGGAAAACTCAAATAGCAAGAGGAAGACAAGCCGAAAATATGAGACAGATCATCTTAGAAATCAGATTATATGACAAAATACAGAAACAAAAGATGTTTATTTTTAAAGGTCATTTTCAGTGCTGTGACACAATGTTTCGAGTTGATTTCATTGTCTTATAAATTGCCCCCCAAATAAATACAACAAAGGAATGAAATTTAATAAAAGTAACATGTGCTGCAAGAGATAATATATTATGAGTAATGCGGCAAAAACTCCCAGATGCTTTCACCATTAGCTGTGCTGGCAAGGGTTTCTGGGAAATGTAGTCTAAGAACACCTAGGACCCAATGTTGGGAACCACTGCTCTAGAGATGATATGCCTTCTAAGGCACCACGTGGCTTTCTGTCTTCATCACAACTCCGGCTGATTGGAGTTCTGGCTAGGATTGTTTGAAACACTGGTCTAGAGATGGTTGATACAAATGTTGTATGATGAAATGTAACAGAAGGAAACCAGTGAATGTCCTCACATGCCATAAAGTCTTCCTGTGTCCACCAGGTATTGCCCCCATTGATGCATCTGCTGTATGGATGGCCAGGATCTCTCCCTCCTAGGACAGAGGAGCTATGAAGACCTGGGCATCCCAGAGAAGCTTTATAGCCTGGCCTCTCTGTGTTGGAGCTGCAAGGGAGGCATGAAAAACTATAATCACTCTTCTGCTCCAGGAAAAACAAAACTATGACACACTACGTGGCACAAACTCCTCCTCTGAGCTCATCAGAGTAGATAAGAGAATCTACTTTTAGAGCAAAGGGTCTGTAAATATGGAATGACTTGGGTCGTTTCTGTCTGTCCTCTTAGCTCCCTCTAAAGGGATGACATCATATTCCTAAAATAACGCAGACATTTTATACAGCAAATGTCCAATTCTGCACATAAGCCTTTATCTGGAGAGTTATGCCAAGAGAAAAAAGTCTTTAAGGTGCCACAGGACTGCCTCTTTGAAAAGACCACTCTAGCCACCGAACAGTGCAAAAGATCTGAACAGTTCGAAACCAACGACAAAACAACAAATTTGTTGTTGCAAATTTGTTCGGTTTGTTTAAAGCTGAGAATTTTGCAATTTTTTTGAAATTACAACAACTGCTTGTTGGTTGACTTTTTAAAAAAAAGACAGAAGCTGTCAGAGTTAAACTGAAGTGCCATTTACAGCATGGATATGCCCTCAGATCGTGAGGCCCTCTTTTGCCTCATGATCGGAGGTAAAGTTGCATGCAAGGACATGGTGGATAAGCAATGGGCTGGATTCCTCAGAACTGTCATGAGCCTCTGGCTTGCCCAATACGCCCCAAGCGGTAGGAATGTTCCCACCTTAGGGGGGGGGGGACACAGAAAATACCGCTGAAGGATAATGGGAACCATCAGAACCGGTCTGATGGCGGTGCTGTAACAAAATGGATGGTGTTTTTGAAGGCAAGGTTGTGCATTTGCCAGTGACCACAAGCATTTCTACCACTAGGTGTCTCAAAGCACAGCAGCAAGAAACAAGGATTTTCCCCGTTCTTTGTGCTGGGGCAATCCAAACCACTCTGGAAAAGGCTCTTTCAAAAATCTCCAGAGCAAGCCCCATCCATCCGTTAAGCCTCACCTTTTGCAGGTATGGTGAAAGTGAAATGAGGTCGGTCCCTGCGTGCGTCACCATGAAACTCAGCAGAGTATGAGCTGAACTAGTTTGAGAGGCCCATCCTATTCATTTAAGTAAAGGGCAGCCGTGTGGTCCAAACAAAATTGAATCTAAATGGGAAAAATGGGCGATACCTTTATAGATCACACAAAAAAATCACACACAATATATATTTGTATCCCACCTTTCTCATTAAGAATACTCATCCCAAAAAAACAATAATGAGCATGTCTAGACCACGCAGATCGCAACTGTTTGATATGACTTGATGAGCTGACCCTCAATCCTATGCAATGTTGGGATGTATAGTTTGGTGACAGCGCCTGAAAATTCTCTGCTGGACTTCGGTGGGGAGGGATGTGTGAGAACTCTCTAGCAAAATACTGTACGTCCCTCACGAAACTATAAATCCCAGGTTTTCAGAGGATGGAGCTGTGACAGTTTAAGCGGTATCAAACTGATGTAGTGATTTAGCGCAGACGTATTTCATTTCTCAATTAAGCAGTACGTTTTCTCAGGAATGCTGGTTTTTAACTTAGCAGGTTTTAAAGTGTTTCTTAATTGCTTTTCTACTTGATTGTTTTAAACTTAATGGATGTTTAATTGTTGTTCTTTTTATTGTGACAGTTATACAGCTTTTTAAAGTTTCTCATTTCACCTGCTGTGAGCTGCCTTGGGTCCCCTATGGGGAGAAAGGTGATAGATATCAATAATTTAAATAAATATCTGTGTTGCATGCAAACTGTGGGAAAGACAAGTTACTGTACAAAGGGGATGAACCAAGACCTGAATTCTCTCTAAAAGCAGAACCAGTTCGACTAATCCGCATCAGCAAATGCTGTCAATAGATGAAGAAGGGCACAATTCAGCGGACTGGGAGAAAGTTGGGGGGGGGATAGTCTGAGGGTGCATCTCTTCAGTAAAATTACTCTTTTCGTGTATAACTCCCAGAAACCCACTAGCCATGGTTTAGGGCTCCACACCAATGCAGGCTTGGGTTTTTTTTAAAAAAAATAGCTTAAGATATAGTCAAATCTATATTTCTCCCATCTGGAGCGGTCAGTGTTTCAACTGACAGGGAGAAAGTAGACAGACTGGTCATTCCAGCTGACTTAGCTACTCTGATGGGGGAATTCTGGAAATTCACGAGTGAGTTACTTCCCCTTTTGGCTCAGCAGAGTTCCCACTGTGATTTTCAACAGATTAACATAATCAAACACAGAATTAAAAAAAAATAATTCTCAATACATTCAGGATTGGATGTAAAAACGTTTAGAAACAGGTCTAAAACATATGAAATACAGTACTCTGCACTGCATATTGTGGCTGTTCTATCACTGTCTCTCTGTGAGATGACTACGGGGAGATTTTGCCCATCCGAAAAGTGGTTGGGAATTTGTTTAAAATTCCACTCTCATTTCCAGATAATTTCGCTATTGTCATGTCATATAACTTGCAGAGGGTTATTCTAAAACTGACCACAAAACTATTCCCTGCAAACTGGAGAGTAAGCAGAGCCTTCATAATTGTATCCATATATATTGCCAGATCGCTTTTCAGGGGGGAAAGCGTGATGTTTCCAAACCGCCACATTCAGAATACGAATTTTCAAAATCCTGAGCAATTCCCTCTATTTAAGAGGGGGAGCTGTAGGTACTGAGTTAAATGTCCATCACTCTAAGGCAGTAATTTTCAACCTAAAGTTAAAGGTTCCCCTTGACAATTTTTGTCCAGTCGTGTTCGACTCTAGGGGTGGTGCTCATCCCCGGTTCCAAGCCGTAGAGCCAGCCTTTTGTCCGAAGACAATCTTCTGTGGTCACGTGGCCAGTGCGACTAGACCAGGAACGCTGTTACCTTCCCACCTAGGTGGTCCCTATTTATCTACTCACATTTTTACATGCTTTCGAACCGCTAGGTTGGCGGGAGCTGGGACAAGCGACGGGCGTTCACTCCGTCGCGTGGATTCGATCTTACGACTGCTAGTCTTCTGACTCTGCAGCACGGTTTAGCCTGCAGCGCCACCACGTCCCATTCAACCTAAAATCCTCAAGATATTTTTAATTTCAGGTTGGCTGGATAGCTTAGTAAGCCAGAGGTTGGGAGTTCAGTTCTTCACTGTGACTCCCTGGGATAAAAGCCAGCCTGGGTGGTCTTGGGCCAGCTGCACAGTCCCAAAACAAGGGACAGGCCAACCACTTCTGACTTACTGTCTACTTGGAAAACCCGAGAAAGGATCGCCGTGAGTCCGAATTGACTTGATAGAACATTATTATTATTTATCATTATTTTGTATTTCGACATCTCAGACATAGTATACCCAGTGATCTGGGATTCTGAGAGTTTGGGTCTTTTAACTCCCATCATTCTCATCCAGAAGTTGATGATTTTTTTTTAAGTGGACATCAGCCATCCTGAAATGTATAACACCTGAATCCCATGGAAATAAAAAGGAGCCGCGTAGTCCAGCATGGAGTTTTAAGTTGCTGCAAAATCTGAATTAAATTAATCCAAATTTTCTTTTAAATCCTCCACAAGATATACGGATGTGGGTGAGTTTAAGCAGTGGGAAAAAAAGAAAAGAAAAGAATCCTGAGTTTCAGAAACAACTGCCCTACTATCTGACAATTAAAAACACCTATTAAGAGGCTGCTTCTTCTTTTGCATCGAGATCTGGCTTGGTTCGCAAGGAAATCTGCCAGGCCTTCTGTTCAGTAAAAGGCGTGAAGGCAGGGGAGGGGGAGGCAGGAGGAGGACATGGATGAAACATAAGACCCTTTCTCAGCTCCGTTTCCTCCTTTTTGTCCCACCCATTGGTAGACACATCCTGGACTGCCTCCATCAGGGAAAAGGCGTAGGAGTGAGGGAACAGCTGCCGATCTGTTTTGCATGGAAGAGGAGGAGGAGGAGGAAGTTAATTTTAAACCCAAATCTGGGCCGGCCTGCCTCTGCATGTGCCACATTTAGGACAGCAAGAGTTGAAACCCTAACACGCATCGATTGCTAGGAGAAAGGGGGTGCCTGAACAGTCTACAGGGACAGTCCAAAGGGAAATTCTGTCTCGAGGTTGCCCTCGTTATTCAGAAAGAGATGGAATGAGAAAGGAGGTGATTTCACGTGGATTGTGACCTATTTTATGTGTGCTCCACTTTGTTCCAGGACGCAAGGAGATGCAGGCTGTAATTTTAGATGCACTAGAAGAAAAGAGCTACGGGAACGCTTTGAGGATTCTGTCTACTTTTCTACCCACTAGGTTATTTATCATTTGGCTTTAATTGATTCCCTGTGTGTCCCATTGAAAATTTATCTCCAGCTTTTTGGAGACGTGGATAGCTACGGTCCTTGGTGCTTTTGCCCCCAGCCAAAAACAGGAGGCCTGTCTTTTCAACAGGAGGCAACGAAAATTCAGACAAGAGTGACTGATTGATCCTGGCTTATACTTTAGAGTGGAGTGGACAATGTGTGGTCCCTCGAGGTGAAAGGCATGCGCCACCACAATCTATGCTCCTCTCCAACTCTTCCCCACTGCAACACCATTTAAAAGTTTAATTTTGGATCCCGTGTTTGCAACATTTAGTCGGGATGAATTTTGACATTGTCCCATTGGATGAAGAGTCTGAGGATCTTTTGGGGATCTTTTAGGGCACCAAAGAAAGACATGGGGGGGGATACCATTATCCTATATATACATATAGGATACCATGAAATGAAGTGTCAGTTTAATCAGCCCATGTGCTGGTGGGGAGCAGGCCACCTCTGGACAATTTGAAGGGGAGGGCAAGAATCGAGTAAAATGCCATGGCTATTGCTGCTTACAAGAACATGGCCTTCAAGAATCAAGGCTGCTAAAGTCGTATCTGGACAGCAAACAGGATGGGGGCTTTCTTTTTGCCATTAAATAAGCAAGTAAGGAGGCACGTGGGATGTAGAGACACAGATTAGTACTCAAGAGACCTGGGTTCAAAACTTTGCTTAGCAGCATACTCTGGGGTGGCCAGAGTATGGCCATTTGATGAGAAGAGAAGACTGCCTGGAAAAGACCATGATGTTGGGAAAGAGTGAAGGCAAGAGGAGAAGGGAACAACAGAGGACGAGATGGTTGGACAGGGTCATCGAAGTGACTAACATGACTTTGACCAAACTCCGGGAGGCAGTGGAAGACAGGAGGGCCTGGTGTGCTCTGGTCCATGGGGTCATGAAGAGTCAGACACGACTAAACAACTGGGGTGGCAATGGGGGGAAAAACCCGCACACCTCTATTTGTGTAGATCAGGTAGTTTCTGAACAAGGACAGGGCAGATCGAGGCCTCCGTTCAGCTCCCTGTGAGTCTACTGTCCTCAGCACCTCCCTGCAGAGTCCATCTTGATGAGATCATTAATGGCATGGAAATGTTAATCTCCCCTCTGCAGCCTGGTTGTCTTCCTGCCTCCCCTCCCACACATTTTCTCTCTCTCATTCTCTCTCTCTCTCTCTCTGTTGCCTGAGTTCCCCTCCTCCCTCCCCTAGGAAATGGAAAGATGCAACACATGGTTGAACAGATTGCTCTTTCTGCCCGCTTTCCGACCTAGCCTCTCTCCGCAAGCCTTCCATCTGTTACATTTGGAACACAATCCCAAGCCTCGATCAGCAAAAGTTTACCACTTGGAGAAACAAAATATTGCCTATTGTGTAAGGTGTTATTCGCTTCCTTGTCCCTGTGGCTTCTGTACAAGCTGTGTTGATTTTATCAGTAAAGGAAAGCAAGTTGAGCATTGTGTAAATGTTAAAACCTATTGTCCATTTGCACGCACCAAGACGTGGAAGTCACATCCAGAGCTTGGGAACTAAATATAAATCATGGTGGCGGAGAAGATTTAACTAGCCTTGTATTCTGTTGGGGAAAACATTTGGAGGATTTTAATAAATAATTACGGGCTATCAAACTGATTTTGACTGGTGGGAATCCTTCCTAGAGTTTTCTAAATACAAAAAATACGGATTTTCTTGTATGATACTGAAGATATCGTATGAGACGAGGTTAGAGCCTCCTCAAATACCTTCATTCAGTTCATCCCATATAATGTGGATGGTGACAACTTTGCGTTACACATAGAGAAGTAAAATTGTAAAATTTCCGGAAAAAAATTCTGGGAGGAAAAAAACAGAAAAAAAGATGCTAAGGAAAATGTCTTTTTTCTCTCCCATAAAAACTATACGTATGTAAAAATTGTCTAGACTGAATCGACTGAGAAAAGGAAATTTCCATTCCCCCCCCCCCCGGAAAACACATTTCCTCTGGGTTTTTTTCCCAGGGGGAAATGGAAATTTTTGGAAATTTTACATCTCTACACATACTGAAACATGGCTAACTCATTTCAAACCCCAGAATGTTACAGTATATGCAATACCTTCTCACATTTACTGACCTTATGTAGTTGCATGTACAGTGTTCTATGGGTAAGCAGATCTATAGTTTGCTCATACAGCTTTAATATGTGATGGATGACTATAATAGTTAGCCTTTAAGGTGCCACTTTTTGTCTTTTTTTCATCTCGCTTTTGTTTCTTTGGATTTTGCCTGGTATGTGTCATCTTTCAGTTGCTAAATTTTGATCCTACGATCCCACCTGAGTATGAATACTTGCTAAGGCAGAATTGCTGAAGCTGGAGAAAACACAATAGTACAAGTTAGAGATGGACATGAACTTCGGTTCGGAGGTTCATGCTGGTTGATCAGCCCAGCACCATAGGTGCTGTACCTTCTCTTCCTCCACTCCCGGCTAGATCCTCCACTCACCAGTTGGTGTGCACTGCTCTTCTCCTCCTCTTCATGCATTAATCTGGTGCCGGCAGGAGCAACTGCTTCCCTTCTTTGCCTCCTCTGGCAGCTGGCCACTCAGACGACGAGGAGGGGCAGGGATTCCTGCAACGCTGCATCTGAGTGGGTCGCTGTCACAGGAGGCAGAGAAGGGAAGCAAACGCTCCTGCTGGAGGAGAAGAGCAGCACACACTGGCAGATGAGTGGAGAATCCAGCCAGAGTCTGAGGAGGCAGAGAAGGGAAGCAAGCGCTCCTGCTGGGACTGGACATATGCCAAAAGAGGAAGAGAAGAGCAGCACAGGCTGGCAGATGAGTGGAGAATCCAGCCAGAGGGTGAGGGAAAGGAATGTGCGGTACTTGTGCTGCTAGGATGACAAACTAGCACAAACCCACGAACCAAGGTTCATGTCCATCTCTAGTATGAGTTTTTATTGGGACTAGACCAGTGGTTCCCAATTTTGGGTCCCCAGATATTCTTGGCCAGCACCGCTAGTGATGAAGGTTTTTGGGAGTTTTAGGCCAAGAACATCTCGGGATCTAAGGCTGGGAACCAGTGGACTAGGCCAGTGGTTCTCAAACTAGGGTCCCTAGATGTTCCTGTTCTGCAATTCCAAGAAGCCTTCACCATTTCCTGTGCTGGCCAGGATTTCTGGGAGTTGCAGTCTAAGAACATCTGGGGGCCCAAGTTTGAGAACCACTGAACTAGACAGTCTGAGACCACCCAGGAGATGCCTCTGGAGCAGCTTTAACAAACCCAGGTGCAAATTAATCAGTAAAAAAAAAAACAAGCCAACCCAAGAGATGCAGGTAAAGATTCATAGCGAAAGTTTGGAACATGCTGACAAATATAAGGACTGTGAAATATGGTTGAATGGACAATTTGGAACACAGCTGTTCAATAAAAAGCAAAATATGTAAAGATTGTTTGCTGCAGCTAGCTTCCTTATAATGAGTTTCAAGAGTGCTCCACGTATTTTGGTATGACTCTGTCGCATGAAGTTGTGGACTTTAGCACAGATTGTCTTGGAAAAGAACAATAGCTATAGGTTTATTACAACTTTGTTGGATTTCCAATTGGGAGTACTACCAATGAATATGTATTAAGATGAATGAATAAAACTAAGACATCATTCAATGCAGAAAACTAAAGCATTTTGGTGACATTGCTTTGGGCACTCTATGAGCAGAAATGTGATCAATGAATGTGATAAGGAATAGTTAAGCATCAAGTAATTGCTATTTTTATTTTATTTATTTATTTAAAATATTTATATGCTGCCTTTCTCCCTAAAGGGTGCTCACAGTATTGAAAAACAAAGGTAAACACCAAATGAGATTATTACAATTTTTTAAAAAAAGTATTAAACAAATATATTAAAATTCATAATAAGAGTTAAGGTTAAAAACGCCAGTAACACAGAATAAAATGACCCTTTAAAAAAAATCCCCTTGGTCAACCGGCGATTTAAAGGAAAGCCTGCCTAAGGAGAAAGCTTGTGGAAGGATAGCAAAGATGGGGCCAGCAGGGCCTCCAGTGGGAGGGAGTTCCAGAGACTGGGAAAAGCAAGAGAGAAAGACCTCTCTTGTGTTCCCACATAATGCACCTGGGTGGTGGGACCTTCTCCTGATCTTAATACCCAGGTAGGCCCATAAAGGGAGATATGTTTTTTTATAATAATAAACCAGGAAATTATATAACTTAAAAAATAAAGAAGGCTGGGACACTTTAGCCATATAACAAGAATTGAAAAGTAGATTGCTACAGAGAAAATAAAATAAATGGCAAGAAGAAGGAATGAAGTTAGGGAACTGAGGTGTTGGTTTAGATGCAGTGCAACATTACTATTTATATAAGCTTATAATAATAGAATTTCAGAGCTGGAAGGGCCCCTGTGGATCATTGTGTCCACCCTCTGTCAAAATGGCACAGTGGGGAATTGAACCCCCAACCTCTTACCTTAAACCGCTAAGCTATCCAGCAATGTTGCTACATCCAGGATCAAGTAAGGCACAAGGATGCCGAGCCTCTAGTA